ACTGTACCCCTAGCACGAACCATTATCGAATTCGAATAGTTTGCAAACTGAAATGTCAATGTCAAATTTTGTATGGAAACTTGAACAGCAGCGATGCAAAGTACGTAACGAGAACTAAAAATCACTACACATTTGAAAATGACATTTCGGACTCGCCAAAGATACGAATTCGATATTGGTTCGTGCTAGGATAGGTTAGGTTACTGAAATTGGAAGTAAGATTTTATTTTACAGAATCGCCCTACAGAGACTTAAAACTGTAGTACCTCCCTCGAGCGCAAAGGAGCTTTTAATTTTAATTCTTTACCCTAGTGACTTTGTAATTTTAAATTGTATTATCATTGCAGAAAATCATCATTTGATTAATTGAATTTCTCTGAGTACGCTATCCGATTGATTTTAATTAGCTATAAAGAACTAATAAGGTAGTTGTGAGAGTGCTGCGATTAAATTCCTGTTTTAAGATATGCTTATTAAAGTGTCGGATATGAAATAAGGTCTTAAATTTGCTAGTATTTTTGAGATTTTTATGTATCAGATATACCCGGAAGAGTATTATATTATTGTTTATTAATAGTTATATAATTATCATAGATTCATAGTTATGATTAAGAATTAAAAATTTGATAAATTTGTAAATTGATTATTAAAAATGCAAGAAGTTACTTATGTTAAATTTTTAATTACACTGATGAACGTCTTCAATATCGTTATGATATTGGATGTTAAATTCAAGAAGTTTACCGATAACTTTATTACCTCGCCAGTACAAGTAACCACATCGTTCGGAACAATGAGTGACGGCAAAGCTCTTGTACAGTGAAAGTAGAAACTGCTATCCAATATGGGAAGTGCACCTTCTGTGTCAGACTGTAATGTGGAAATTGTCAATTGTTTCAACCGCATTAAAGCTGCTCTAAGTAGCAGAGGAATGTCACTCCTCGGTTCCTACTCTAATGTACTCGGAATTTGAAGCGTTACGGTGTAAAGCGTTTACGGTAGGTACCAGAAATGCTTTAGGAGCTGCGACTGTTTGTACAGTGGATTTACTGTGCGAGTCTTGTAACGCACCGGTATAGCCTATGTGTATTTCAAGCTTTCTTGCTAGTAATTGTAAGTCTATATTTTGCGCTTAGGAAATATACTTAATGATGAACTGATGTATTTCTTCTGTCTAAATTACAATCGATTCATAAATATTAGATACAATTTAAGACAGTACCATTTTTATCAGTCCAGAAATAGAAAACATTCTTATGTCAAGTAAGTCCCACATACCAATGAGAATCTCATAATTAAGCACCTAAGTATGTAATTTTCCTGAATCTAGGTTATCGCAATCAATAAATTGCGATGTAATACGTTGTCCAATCCAATTGAACTTTGTAACTATTTTTCTTAAAGCACAATTAACCTTAATGGTCTCGTACTATAGTTAATCTGAGTGGAACTAACGCTTATAATCCATTGTGTTCATCCATAATGTTCTAATTGAAATGTTTCATTGTATTCGTTATGGCTTTCGATCGTTCCATCGACGGCATTATTCATTTTGTGACTGGTTCGAAGGCCGTTCTGGTTGATACAAATTGCCGTCAACGTGTCGGCAAACCTCTTCATCGTAGAATTGATGACGACATTCGTAGTGCATGTGTATTCACTGTTTTGGTTTCGAATCATATCCTACTAATATTATAAATGTGAAATTTTGTATGTTTCAATGTTTGGTACGCATATAGTTTATGACCTGAATTGAGACATAAGATACTTTTTAATTCCGTGAAAGTGTTAGGTTCCTGTGGGATTTTTATGGAACTAAAGTTAACGCGAATAAAGTCACGTGCGGCCGCTAGTTTACAAATATTTTTTACAGGGTGCAGCAAATTACCTTCCTAAATCTGCAATAGCTAATTTGTTATGAAAAAGTGCCGCTTCAGCCATTTTCACCTTTTTTGATATTTGGAAAAGGCGTTAAACGCCTCCCTGAACCACCGGGAGTACATGCGCGAACAGGGTATCTTAAGACTCCTCTTTACCCATTTGATGCAGCCTCAAAAGCTCCATGAAATTATCAGGGCCCTACCCAGTAAAAACTAGATAATACTCTTACACCGGTCACCCGACATGCACTAGTAGGATCGAGGTCCCCCTAATGCGTCTCCGGGTTTAATAAGTCTCCGACTGACCGCGCACCCGCAAGCCATACTCGCTTGGGCTCGCCTAGTGGGATCGGGAAACTTAATCACCAACAGAAACATTATCACCACTCAAAGTGTCTTTGACTGTGATCTTCTGTAAGGTGGAGGTTACTTCTCGTTCTTCGACGCTTAAATTTAAGCGGAAAATCCGCTACGTCCTACGAACTTCTCGTAAAAAAAAACAAATATTGAAAATATATTTAGAGATTTTTGTAAGGAATTAAGATAAATTAAAAAGAAATTTAACTTAAAAGTCAAAACATTGTAAGCTATTCAGATAAAAAATAGTCATTTATTTTTTTCTAAGCATTGGTGGATAATAGATGCTACTACATAAAATATTTATTATACAAGAACCTGTTATTTTATTAATTTTCGACATGTTTTTAATATAAATTTGCTGCGAAATATCAAGATTTATATCAATTAAAAGAATTAGCAATATTAATTGGAATATATTTTAAACTGTTGAAATTGAACAATAAGAACAATTGAACAACAAGAAACCAAAAATCTCAGTAATAAATTGTTTGTTTTATTAATTTGACTTTTTTTTTATTTTAATCTGTCATCCTTTTGAATATTATGAATATGGAGGCAGATAATATCAAAATGCTTCACTAACACTTTCGGAGTCATTAAAACAAGAAATCTACATTATAAATTATCTTAAAACTACGAGTTTAATTATAAAGAGCTTAATTTAACATGCTCCGAGTCATGATACATGTACACTTGGTCTTATATGACCTATCATATTAAGCTGTTTATATTACAAAATATTTTTTTTGAATATTTGTGATTTAATCACCTAAACGGTCCAATTAAGTGAAACTTGGCACACTATTAAAAGGAACAAAATTTTATAGTGCATGCAGACAAAGACGCGGGATTGTTGCCGCTAGTTTTTCCATGTTTTTAAAATACCGTTCAACAAACATTAAATCAATAGCTCATTACTGTAAAATTAAAGCAATTAGCTGACCCAAACGTAGTGAATGCCTGCCAAAACTTTCCAAAAGGTACAATGTCCTCTAAATTAGCCACCGGGTCGCGATAAACGCACGCCCTCAGAATCATAGCAGCCATTAAAATATCTCTCTTGTAAACATTGTTTAATAGCTTGTTGGTACATTAAAGTAGTCGTTAAGGTGATGATTCTTGGGATGCGTCATGTACCATAGCCAAACTTGTTTGGATAATTTCAGTCATTTGTTTTTGCGACTATGTTGAAATGGGGGCGGTGTATGAGATTATGGGAAGATCTTCATGAACAACATTTTTAACCTATGACTTCAAGGCTTTCTAGACTCGGTTTTACCAGGCTTGGTTTAAATAAAATGTTAAATAAAATTGTTCCAGTTTTTAGTGTCAGGGATTCTGAAATAGGCACCAATTTAACATTAACTGCTACCGACGTTTGTTTATTTAAAATATAAACAAGTGTGTGTAATCACATTTTATCTAACTGTGAATCTCTAGTCAAAATGAAACCAAAGCTTTAAAAACTAAGTAAACTTGGTAAAACAATTATAAGTACTTAAATTTGGTATCAATTCACAATATTATTTTGTGCTTGCTGTGGCTATGTAAACTTCCTTGGGCCTTGGAGCTACGCGAAAACTTCCGAATACTAGTGATTCTGGAGATATTGAAAAATTACTGGGGCTCGTGACTCTGCCTACGGAATTTAATCAATCCAACTGCTCAAAGTATTATCTATCCATTTTACTTTTATACCTAAATTCTTTAAAAATCCGTTTAGAATATAAGGCCTGAAAGTCCAACAGAGGGGCAGAAAAGCTACTTTTTCATTAATGTTATACGTCTAGTTATTTATTAGTAAAGTGACAAGAATACATTGACGTAACGTATCATATTGAAATATTTTTGGAAAATTGTTTATTTACTTTTATGTACACATTGCCTACCGAATACAAGTACTAATCTCGCTGATCTTGGCCGAAATCGTGGCGTACAATTTTCGATAAATATCGCGGCGTGCTTTTGAAACCGAAAAGTAATGTTAACCAAAATGATCAACAAACGGATAAAAGTTAAACAGAATCCGTGAGTCGAGAGCCTTAGTTGGCCTGCGATTAAATTATGATAGCATCATTGGTAATGAATTGTATACGACGTTTAATTCGTTTAAACATTCAACGTAACGTGGCTCTTGCGACCTAAAACAAGTGCTCCGAACCTTTTTAACTTTGCAAGTGAAGTTTGCGCTTTCATAAATATAAACTAACAATCAATGACAACGACTTTTTTTAGGTTACGAAATTTTATCAAGATTCAAAAACATCATATTTAACAACAGTCCTAAGAAAGTATTTTAATCCGGATTAAATTTGACTGTAGTTGTTGATGTTTAAGTTTTATTGAGGTGTTGTATTGGCAGCCATTGTTAACTTTATGCTCTTAAAATAGAATCAATCGATCCTGATCATAAACCCAAAATATTGTCAAGAGAAGAACCCAACTATTTAGAATTAATGAAATTACAATGTCTCTGAATTTGCTGCAGTATTTAGTGCCGTTTATTAAGCTTGTATTTTTCTTATATCTTATGTTTTCATGCCCACCAATCATTAAATTTTGATAAAATACTTTTGGAACGGGTGCGGTGTGCGGTTTTTATTACATTTCTTTTAATCTTTCTGGACATTTCGACTTAGGGGGGCGATTTCTGCATTATTTTGTTCTTTGAGTGCCTCTCCAATTACTGAAGGCTGGCATTTTCATTCTGCGTTATTTTCGTACGTTTTGTGATTTTTATGTTCATTTCCTTTGTTTCAGATTGCCAGCGGTTTAGATCAAGTGTAGTGATTGGTGGTTGTATTATGTGTGGACACCGCGCTGTTTCGGACCTTAGGTGACGTGCACACATGCCGTAATGGTAGTTTGGAGAGCAAAGAGCACTAGCCGTCGGAGACACGGTGTCTTGTGAGTTTATATTTTTTAAATTTGTTTCTTTTATTCCATAGAGATACTATGAAAGACATATCGATAAGAAAAATCTTTAAAATAAATGTGCTGTTATAATTCATTTGCTTCCGCGAACTTTAGAATATGCATCACCAAACTAAAACCAGGCGAAATAATTTTAAATATCTCTATTATAACAAAAAAATGTGCACAGAGAACGTCGCTGTCCCCATCATATTACCTGTGACGAGTCTAAAGTGGTCTAATTGAAACCTATTGTATTTTATTTTGTTTTTGATCAGGATGCTAATGGTAAATTGTACATATTTTGAGATTTTCATATTATACCAAATATCCATAAGTAGAAGCTAGTTTTATCGGGTCTACTTTTATTGGGTCCACTTTTATTGGGTCCACTTTTATTGGATCTCTTTTAGATGTTTCGCTTTTTATCTATAGAGAAGTGGGTGTGGCTGTAAACCAGCGCTGCCCGAAACCTTCCGTAATGGAGCAGTTAATGCTGAGCCACATCCATTTGCTCTTCACGCTGTCATATCGCATTGTACATTGTATGAACTATGTATTACTGTGAGAGGAATAAAGAATATTTCTATATTATTCTAGTTGACCATTATAAAGCATTTTATATAACAGCATACTTTTTACACTAATAATTTATTAGAGAATTTACAAATGCAATTAGATCAACACTTTGATGCAGGAATTAGATAATGAACCAAAATCAACCTCATGGTACTTGGTAACAATGCAAGGTGACCTCAATAAAGATTATACGTTTATCATTGCCCTGTCGCCTGAGGCATATAAGTTGGCAATCATAATATGCAATGGTTGTTCTACCGTGGGTCCGATGCAGTTTGTGGTAGATATGCCCTGAGGGAATTTCGTAGATGAGCGAATATTCTCTGGAATTTCCTAATAACTTTATAAAATTACTTTCTAAATTCACAAGTATATGTTCTATATAACTATTCCATAAACTTGATCCATAGTATAAACATGGACTACAAGTGCTTTAACATTTGAATACTGAATTATGGCGATTGCTGGTTAAATATACATTAACTTGTGATATTATTTACTATAACAGAATAAAACTTAGAGATGGCTGTTACTGTCTAGAGTAATTTAACAAAAAACTACATAATATCAGATTATCGGTTTCCTACAAAAAGTGTTCATTTATTATAATCAGGTACCCAATTATCATATATTATTGACGCATTAATTTTAACAGATAAGAGGATTAAAAACCAAAGTAGGTTGGATTAACTCTAATAATTACAATGATATTATCGAAATATTAGCAGTGAGGTCTTAACTTTAGAGTATTCCTTCGTTTAGCATACGCGTATTTAGTATAACATTTATAATAGGGTTCACATCATCACCTTATGCTATGTAATTGACTTGTCCATTCGGATTTGCTTATGTAAATTTGACAGTAGTCTTTCCTTTAGATTCTTTATAGAATGGCAAATTCGTTCTGCAAAACTTTAAAGTCAAAAGTTTTAAAAGTTCAGCATTTGGTTTTTAGGGTGGGTAGACAGATTTTTAGGGTGGCTGGGCATTGCCCACCTATGCTCCCCCTTACTTACACCATACTAAGAATTGCTACTAATCTTTTTATGCCAAAAATAATAACAATAATTTTGCTGATCGCTTATCCTTAATTTTAATATATTAAAAGAATTTTACATTTAGAACTGGTATTAGCAAGAAACATTATTCCTTCTTTTCATCAGAAAACCGAAAAGAAAACGGGATTCCATTGTGTCTGTAGAGTAAATTTTTGTTTGTTTCATATTTCTCTTAATTCTGTACCCTTATTTAGTTTTACGCCTGGCTTACCTTACTGCATCAGTGGGTTCCAAAGCAAACTTATTGGTAATCAAATATTATGTTTGACATTTGGTGTTCTGTGTAATATAAACTTATGTACTTGGTGATGCATGAAAAAGTGTACCCGAATATTATGTTGGCTTAGTAACAAGTCTTAAGAGCATGAGTGACGTGTTTCTTTATATTTTTAACTGGTGTCCTTTGCTATCTAAAGGAGTATAAGTAATTAAAAAAAGATTGAATTTAAGAAAAGTTTAGATCAAAACCTTAAATGTTCAGTGATTGAAATTATAGTTTAACGAATTAGATTCTTATTTTAAAGTGTCATATTTTTTAACAGTCCACGTCAGTTAATGGATGTGTTGAATCATAATCACACATTCGAAGAGATAAACCATTAATGATTCAGATGTGTGATAATAATTGTCACGTTATCGGTACTCACACCAGATTTAGGGTTACATACTTCAATAAAAAAGGATCATTTTTGAAGTGAAAACTTCTTTAGCGGCGTTGCACACTTTGTATGGGTAAAAAATGTTAAACTCGCATCAGGACACGTGGGCTGATCGCGTCATGACACGTGGCCTGATCGGGGATCTGACGAAAACAATAAAATTGGAAAGATTGTTGACTTTCAATATACTGGACGAAACATAGTAATATTATTTTTTATCGTATTATAATGATAAGTCTCTATCTAGGACGTCCAGGAGGTAGCTTTATTGCGAAGAAAATGCATTTGTTTGCAATAGATGTCGCTAGGTGTGCTTAAATTTGATTCATGTAAGTTCATTTTTTTAAAATAGATGTTGCTAAGTGCGCTTAAACGTGATTCATATAAGTTGATTTTTCTATGAGATAAACTATTTTAATGTAATATAAATTGTCATGTTTGTGTACGATAGCGCAATAAATAAATATTGTATTCTACCACATAAATTATAGTACTTTTATACTGATAATTAAAGCAATTCGTGAAAAATTATTCCCTAACCGTTCCAAAATATCAAAAATGCACAACGTTAATATTCAAGTTTTCACTTCTACCGGCACTCCCGGAGTGCGACCCGTCATTTTTTTGCCCGTCTGTTGGTCAAGGCTCTTTATCTTGGGAACGCATGGAGGTATGGAGTTAAATTTTAAACCATATACTCAGATCTACGGTCCCTTAAAACTGTGAAAAATCAAATTTCAAAGTTAACTTAAATCGAAATACTGCCGTTTATGTGTACGGAATCTGGACCAGTCCGACTCGCACTTGTCTGTTTTTTTTTTATTTCAAATTCTTAAACCCCTATTACATTAAGTGGCGGACACTGCCGGAGTCAGAAGTCGGAATCCCTTGTATCCAGAGCTTATCTCGGCAACGCTAGATGTTCCGGATATTGTTAAGATAAAAGCATTCCTTTAGATCGCTCGTGTTCATCGAACATTTGAACGTCTTAATATGTTAAATCGACCGACAATGCTAACGGTACGCAGCAAAAAGTCAATTCTAATTCGATAATCTTCAATAATATCACACTATGGCATCGACAAAAGAAATAAAACATTGTGTGTATATTCTGCGACTTCTTAATTTATGCAGTGCAGTGTTGCCAGATGAAGAAATCAAAAACACGGTAGGGTGGCAAGAACGCAAAAACCGGTACCCACGATATGCACTGCCCTAAAATTTTAAATTCCTTATTTCATATATCAAAACCTTAAAGGACTGCATGGTAGTCATGAGTGACGAAAAAAGAGGTTCTAGTAAATTCGAAAAAAGCTGAAACGCGTAGTTTAAACGCGGAACGTGAATCCATTGTCAAAAAGGCGATAGAAAAAGCGGAAAAGCAGTACGATATACTGGCAACATTAATACAGAAGATCATTAACATGATTTTGGCACGCATTGTGCCCCGCCTGACGGGGTGAGCGGGATTGCCTTAGGCGATGTAAATTTGATTGATGAAAACGGCCTACATGACTCCACAGACAGTGTTAATAATTCAAGGAAGATTTAAAAACGACCGTGGAGATCGCGCCTTTTGAAACGGTTCCGTGATAGGAATTTCGCAAATACTCTAACCCCCTTTTATGAATAACTAAAAATAAGCTTGGATTATTTACTTTACAGATATAAACAAAACACGATGTTACTAGTCAAAGCTTATTTTTCGTTTTTTAATAAGAGGTTAAAAGATTAATCTAATTGCTAGAGCAAAGGAATGAATATCTAATTGATATAACACTATTTGATCTAATTTCTTTTTAGGTAATCATATTAAAAGCTTTAAAATAGTTTTAGATTGTTTATACTTTTTTACTGCTAAGCGTTACACACCTAAAGAAAAAAAAAACTGGAAATCTTTGTACTGGTTCGAAGTGAGCTTAGTACCTGTTCCCAATTGAATTTCTTCAAACAATAAATTTCTTGATAATAGTTTTTTTGTTTATAAAAGCTATATTTATAAAACAGCTAAAGGTACATAATACAGGGATAATAATACATACCCCTAGATATAATATACCTAACCGATACATAAAATCGCAAATAACATAACTTTAATTGATCATTAATAGACAGATTAGAATATTGGTCTTAATATGAGATGAGTCGAATAATTACACTGTAGAGCAAGTATTTATTAGTGCTAAAAGCCTACTTTCAACAGTTAACATATCTCTATCATTAATGTTTTTGGATGGATTTATTAGCATAGAAATGTAACACGTATTAAATTACGTTTGTGGCAAGTATTAACATTTTTTTGACTAATGTCTCCTCTTATTAATTAATACCTACTGTCTTAAGATAAATTGTACTGTTTGATAAAGATCTTGGCACGGAGATTGCACGGAGTCATTTTTCAGTTTTAAGTTAAAAAAATGTTCATGTGACTAATTTGTTCTTAACTACAATCATGCATATTTTTTCACAGGAATATTAAGTTTTTTAAGTTCAAATTGCTCGGTTATTTTTTTTAAGTTGACACATTCGAATTCTTATTACATTTTCTGATATCAACTCAACTCGTAGGCGATTCGGAGTAAATATTTATTACCTTTAAAATAATCAAGTGCAATTGTCTCTTTAAATATCGCTCCCCGGCAAAAGCGTGTCTCGACAGAAAAACAGCCGTTTTAAGAAAATATGACTTTAACTTTGA